GGGCACTAATTCTTGATGTGGTTTATATTTACATGTTCGTTTGGATTTATGGTTAGGAAATTTGATATCAAAGCAAACAAATTGCACTGGCTTTATGAAACTATTTTATCCCTAGTCTTCAGAGTTGGTGGCTTGGCATTGCTCTCAGATGAAATTTGTCTGTAATGCTACTTAACAAAAGCGAGCAGCCCGGAATTCAGTTCTCAATAGCCATTTACACCTCTGTAAAAGGATTAGCTCTGGCCAATTGTTACACTGTTTAAATCTTAATTTGCATCTTTATGGAGGTAGAGCTTCTAGAGACCTCTCTGGTTCTCTGTTGTATTTGTGTACCTATGGGTGGGAGGTCACTGGAGGTTTTCTCTTATTGGTGAAGGTGCTAAATTGCTTCAGGATGACTAGTAAGCTCCACAAATTGAATTAACGTCTCAGGTTTTGACTGACAACAGTCAGCTTTGGTTCGTTAGTTATATTTTGTAGCAGTTGTGGTCTGAATGGTACATGAATGCACTCTGTTAGTTCTGTTTAAACTGAAGAATCTTCATGGTTCTTAGGTGGTTTTTCAACATTAATTGTAATCAACAAAATCTCCATGATAATGAAGTGTGAAAAACCAGAACCAGAACTGGATAAAATGATGGTTTTTAAAAGTCGTCTTTTCTGTCTATCTAGAACATGTGCTCTTAGCTTAAAATCAAAGCCTTCTCATGTTTAGGTCAAACCGATGAAGAGAAATTGAATTTTCTGGCCAGTGTTGCAGCAGGCACTGGAATTGGAAACAAAGGCCCCGTTGTATTGCCCCTTTCCCACCTTTCTGTATATGGGTTATTCCTAAATTGCACGCTCCCTGCTTGTGGACCACCTCTTCCAGCGATGCCTTTTCATTGTTGCTCATTTTGAAATACAGATTTCTTCACTAAAACTTTGTTCTGGATGTGAACAGCCATGGTGCTTTACAATTCTTTGGTATCATTAAAAGTAAACATATTTGATAAAACTTTTAAAAGTAACATTAAATTATGTAAATTTTGTAAGCCAACTCATTACCGTGTACAGTCTGTGATTACTATCCTATTTTGAGACTGTTTGCAATTCTCAGTTTGCAATACTGAAAGAAAAAGGGTAGCACTTTTCTCTCTTCCTCACTTTAAAATATGTATACTGAGTGGTCACAGGAGCCTAGAATGGGGTTGTTTTCTTTCAAATTATCTGCAAAATTCTGTGTGAGTAAAAGACGAAAATGAAGCTAGGAAGAATTACTTTAAATTAGGCCCTCCCAAAATTTTATGTTGTATGCTTTAACCATTGCTGGGTGAAATAAAATACACCTCTTTAAGTTTCCACTTGTGTGTCTAGCAATTCCCTGTCAACCAGCAGGTTTTTCCACTTGCTAGACTTCACAGAGAACAAACTGGCCCTGTGTGTGGAGGCCAGGCCAGTCCACACGTTCCCCAGGCAAGACTGGACCCGGCCTCATTGGCCAATGCCCCTCCAGCAGGAATTATTTTGGTAGGAATACAAATAGAAGACACAAAAGAAGTTGAGGTCCTGAATTCCAATATAGTTAGTCAGTGTTTCCATAACACATAGTCTTTAATCTTTAGCTCCATAGTGTTTGAATTCTTGAATAGAGTTATTTTTAGCAAAGGACTGGTGGATATTTTATAAACTAAAGCCAGGTACCATGTGGGGAAATGCCTATTAGAAATCCTCAGCACAGACCACAGAAACTTGAGTTCATCTGGAGTAGACATAAGCTCTGTGCAGGCAGTAATTATCCATCTTATTGATCACTTGTTGCCCAGCCCTGGAAGTGCTGGGCTGGTAGAACAACAACTATGTAAAAACATACTGTAGAAATGGGCGTGTCATGAATTTCTCTAACCTGTGTTTAAATCTTGGCCCGTCATTCGACTCATAATGCTGTTAATGTGTCTGTAGTGTCGTTCTGAGTGCTACATGAAACTTAAAACATAACAATTCACAAGTCCACTTGCTGTTCTCAGTAAACTTTTGGTTTTGTTGAGAAGGCTAAGCAGAAAGGACATAACTAGGGGACCATTCAATACAGCTAAGGATGCTAAATAGTGAGTTCTAAAGGAATTCAGGGATAAGAAAGAGCCTGATAAATGAGATGGTCATAGAAGTGCCTAGACAGGTGTGAGATGAGCTAGTCTAAGGAAGCCTGACATTTGGAAAAGAACAAAGCTTATATGACTGGACAATCAAGTGTTATTGAACACTGGCACACCGTGCTCAAGGCAGATGGAGATGCACATGCAGGCAATGAGGGGTGTGTTTTCTCTAAAGAATTTTATAAAGAATAACAAAAACCTGTCTGCTTTCTCTTATTGCCACTCCTAAGAATCACAAAGATAAAACACTTCTCCCTGGAGGGAGGCTGTTCCCATGGCAATACCCCACCCACACACATCCTACCTTGGTACCCCAGCATTAGTGAGTGTCTGCTAACTTCCACTATTCGTAGGGACATTTTAGAGGAGGTACAGAAATGTCCAAGTCATGGTCCTTGTTTAGGGTGTACCACCCTGAAAGTCAGACTAAAGGCAATCTAAGCTAGAGGCCCGAAACCCACCGGCAGGCTCTGTCGAGCACAGTACTTACCTTCTTTTGAGGGTACCACATGGAGCATAGTATTTAACCTTTTGAGTTAACTGCCACATTTGTAAATTTGGAACATGGCAAATAAAAATAAACTTTGCAATTGTGGATTTCCAGCTTCTTGTGAACACTAGGAAGATCAGCATCACTGAGACCCCCATTCCAAAGTGGGAGCTGTGAGTGACTGGCCCTTGGCAGGATCACAAGCCCCAGCCTTCCACAATTGCCCCCATCAGCCCCCCACTGTGGGGGTTTGCTCCCTCTGCTGTCACTCCCACCACTGCTTTCCCCCTGCTGGAGCCTAGAGCATGAGCTCAGTCTCCTGGCTCCTGGGGCCTCACAGTAGCATCAGCATATGGTCACCAGGCTAACCCTCTCAAAAACACTGCTTTTGGGAAACCAGCCATTCCAGACATCTGAAAGGTTTATTACTATTTTCTCACCAGGATTTTATATCGAATTTTATCTCCCATTACAGTTGCCTCTTGAACAATGGGTTTGAACTTCACAGGTCAACTTATACATGGCTTTTTGTCGGTAAATACAGTATTGTAAATGCATTTTCTTTTCCTTATGATTTTCTGAATGATATTTTCTTTTCTTTAGCTTTATTGTAAGAATACAGTATAGAATACATATAACATACAAAATGTATGTTAACCATTTTATCAGTAAGGCTTCAGGTCAACAGTAGCTATTAGTAAAGTTTGGGGGCAGGCAGAAGTTACATATGGGTTTTTGACTGCATGGGGGTTTGGCATCCATAACCCCCATGTTGTTCACGAATCATCCATTCTGGCTTATCTTCACTAACATCAATCCCTACCTGGCCAAGCTTGTGTCCTTCCTGATGCCCACACCCTCCTTACCTGGCATTTCCCATCACCTGCTCCTGAGCTTGCAATCATATCTCCCCCACCGTCTAAATGCTTCCTGGTGGAAGGTCTTCCTCACCATTCCTGATTGTCTACCCACTCTCCATTACGTCTCTAAAATTGGCTCACCACTGATGGGCTTATCTTCCTCTTCTTAAGAGCAGGTGGTGCTGCGAATTGAGAGGCGGCAAGATAAAGCCTTCCAGGAAGAATTGGGACACAGATTTTGCCCAAGAAAAAAGTATTCCTAGGTACTGTAAGTGACATAGGCCAGGAGTCTGCAAGGTTTTTGGCAGAGTTCAGAAGTGAAGGGCTCAACCCAGGGTCTGGCCCACAGGGACTAAGACTCCAAACTCAGAGTCTAGATAAGAGGTCAGGACTTGGCAAGGAGCCAGGGCACTGACAGTATGGCCCAGAGCCCAGAACAGGTTTTGAATCCAGGGGGTTCATTTTTATTTCCTGCTCAGGGTAAAAGCCTATATCTGAGTAAGGGGGTGGTGGGGGAAGCGGGGAGGGAGTACTATGCCTGCAGTTTTCTCGTACCTTCCAGTAGGACAGAGCACATCTCCTTATCCCCATGATATCAGGCACATGGCCATCAAATGGATCCAGTAACTTAACCAACTATAGAACTAATTACAAATTAGTAATACTTTGTTGTTAACCTATTACCTTAGGAATTGCTTCATTTTCATTTGGGGACATGTATCAAACATTCCCAACTGTGATCATCTTCTTTTAAAGTAGAAATACTGTTTTGTTTTTTGATATCCTCCCCAATAGCTTTTTAGAATCATGCTTTCCCCAAAATAGACACCTTTTTTTAAGGGAAATTACTAGCCAATCTCTTTGGAGGCTACTGGTACCATAACATTCCTAACTAGAAACAGTGGCCAAGTTGTTAGCCTCTGCCAACCCCCAGTAGCCTGGAAGTAGACAGTGAAGGCTAAATCCCCCTTCCCATGCTTTCCTGTTCTTACTAAGAATAAATAAGATGTTAATGTAGTGGGGTCCAAATGGAGAAATAATAGTCATTTTTCAGCATTCAGAAATAGAGGACATAACCTATACTCTAGCCAACAGTTTTCAATTTCTCAGCAGTGACAATTTAAGTAAATTTCACATGAGTTGTGGGGCTCTAACTTTGTTATGATTGACAATATAAAATTAGCCTTTTCTGCTGTTAAGATTATCTAGAATTCCTATCAGTCAGGTGCAATGTGTCATGAGATTGCACAGCTGTAGACTGAAAACATTAAAGTCTTCAAAGGGTTAAAAGTTGCTTCCTCTGATGGATTTAAAACTGCCACATACACACAAGCAAGTTTTCCCAAACTGCCCCATTTTACATTTTTGTTGAGAGACAGTTTAGTTGGTGCATTTTTATGTCTAGATTATATTACAGATATATTTCAATAAACCACGAAGAACCACCATAGATTCTAGAAGCGGGCCGTTTGTGCTTAAATAAACATCTCATGCAGCACCTGTTTTATTTTATAGGCTCTATAATCACAGTGACATTCTGAAAGGAGACCTTGAAGCCTGCGGAGCAGCTGTCCTTCACCAGCCCCCAGGATTCTTACCTGGGGGTGGCAGCAATGAAAAGCAAGTCAGGTATTAATCACTGTGGGGTGGGATGGCTGTTCTTGCTCCCAGACACTTCCAAATGTAAAGGCTCACAAACGAGTTCACACAGCCCCCACTGGGGGTAGACCCTTATAATTGTCAGTTTAACTTTTTCTTACAAACTCTACCATTTACTACTTTGTAAATATATTTGTTTCTATTAATTGGTTACATCCACTCAATTCCTCATCACAGCAATATTTTAAGGGTTTGTTTGTGGCAGGAGCACAAGTAGCCTTTGTCTGGCATATACCCGAGAGCAACCCAAGATACCATCTAGTATAACCACCGCCTGGAGGGAAGCACTCCTTAATTTCCATGGTCATGCTAGTAATACAGGCCTCCAATCTATAGGTATGGGTCACTGGACCATCAGCAAGACCTGGGAGCTTGTTAGAAACATGTGTTCTCAGGCCCCACCCAGGACCCACTGAATCAGGAATATGGGGGTGGAGTGCAGACACCTGGGTTTTATTGAGCTCTTAGGGAACTCTGCTCCATCAAGTTTGAGAGCCACCATTCCAGAGATATCCCTCAAATGGCCACAACTCTGAGATGAGAGAGAGAGAGGGAGAGTTAATCATTTGCAAGGTAGGTGGCACATATGAATCATGACTCTTGTACTTTTTTCCTAAGTCAATTAGAAACCCTTCCATATCCTCTACTCACTTTTAGGCAGTCTGGGTTTCCTTTCATGGCCTCAGAAGTTTTGTGGCATTGGGCTACTTACTGAGTTATAAATGTGTAACATGTGTAATGGTTTGTCCAGTACTATTATCTGGTGGCTGCCTCATTTATGCAGCATAAATGTTACCTGTGTTCTAACTCTGATTTGTATTTTGGAGATTGATTCTGTTTCCTCTTAGTAACGTATATCCTGCCATTTACTAGTGAAGAACAGATGATTACTCCAGGCGTGGTCAGCAGATGGATGTCTGTGAAAGCCCTTCTGCAAGGACCTTGTTTGGCTGAGAGCATGGGAGGGACTTCTGGGGTCTGGTTATCTTACTCCAACTTCATTTTCTCTATCTTTGATGTGCCCTGGAGGCAGTTTTTATGTTCACACATTTCTTTAGAGTAGAATTCATCCTAAGTCTAGTGTGTATTGGATCCCATTAAGGCGTGAGAAGTGAGATAATGGTCTCTAAAAAGGCCTTGTCACAAGAAAACTTGGCCAATCGAATCGTTCCATTTCACAGACCATAAGATGAGCCTCACAGGTCCTGAGTGTGTTTACATCAACTTCTACATCCTCATTAGTGATCCCCAAATTATGAAAAAAAATGTTGGAAATGACCTTTCCATTCAATAGCTTTTCAACCTAAAGCAGTAAATGCAAGAAAATCCTCTGACATATATTTATCGTGTGAAATAGAAAATAGCAGTCTCCTTTACAAGATGATGGAAGAAGCTGGCTGGGAGGAGTCTTTCTGTGCTCTAGAGGTCATTCAGTGCTCATGTGTCATGAGGCTCTTTGACCGAGGCCCTGTTTCCTTCTCACTGCCTTTTACATCTGTTGATATACTATTCAGTATAAACCATAGTTGTGGCATGTGGCATAGGAAGCATATATGCATTTATAATTCTCTGTGCAAACTGACTTGTTAGACTACATGATTCATTGTCTGACTCTCTTAACCTAGGCTGCCAAAGTGTGATTGTGGGTGAGAAGATATAATATCTACATCTACTAGACTGACGTTTGCTATAGTTTCTCAACATGCATGATAGAGCATTGATTTCCATTATGAAAGGTTGCATTTTACACAACTATTGATCTACAGTTATGTATAAATCAGTCTTCCCTAAGAAATGAGCCTTCTTTATGACCAACACAAATTTTAAAATTAATATCTGGAGCCTTCAAGACTGTTTGGTTACCACAGTCATTTTTAAAACCAGATAAAGAAACCAGGAATGGTTACTAATGTCAGTGTTATGTTCTGTTACAATTAGAATTGTCCCATGTACTGTGACTGGGGATAGTAGTGTTTAATGCATGCAGATCATCACTGCTTCACTCTCTAGCCTCAGAAAAAGTGCCAAGTGTTTATATGACCTGTGAGAGACAAGTAGTCAGGTCTTTAAATACATGTTCCTTCTAATGGTTTTAACCATGACATCCAGCTCCCCACTGCCCTCCTTGCTCTGGCCACCAACACCCCATACTTCTCAATGCCAGTAGTTATTGCTGGCTACTCCCCTAAGTGAAATGTTCCTGTATGCTTGGTGATCTCCTCTTGACCAAACTAGTCAATTTGATAAACCATTCCAGAAACACAAATCTGCTTTTGTTCTTCAATTGCTAATGACCCTAATGTCATAAAAGTCTAAGCCAGGCAGAGTGAGATGCCTCTAACAGGTTATGAACTCCTTAAAGCCCATTCAGTAGAGCCATGTTTGGTGTGTCTGAAGTCCTGCTTGTGCCCCTGACCAAACTATGGCAATCAACATCTGTCTCTCTAATCTCATCTGTAGAATGAGACACCTGCCCCATGGTATACTCTAAAAGATAGTGTGAAGACCTCCATTTTCCTGCTCATAAAATGAAGCATCTTAAAAGAAAAAAAGAACAAAACCATTCCTATCACCATTATTGATTTTTGCTATATCAAGGATTAAGTGTTCAAAGTCTTTCATTTGAAAGAAAGGCTTCCTATTAGGTAGAGTATCAAGACACTATCTTAGACAATGATGAGCGATATGATTCATGTCATTTGGGGTGCTTGATAAAAAGTTCTGTTCATGATTGTCTTTAGGAAAACATTTTAAAATAAAAATGATTACTAAATAAATAGTTTTATCTTATACAAAAACCATAACGCGGCTACCTATTACTTTATACTGTTTTTCCAGGTGCAACTAATTAGTTGTCTCTCTTAGTGGCTACTCTCAAATACAATTGCCCAATTGTACTCTCAAAATCATGCTGAAAAATTGAGTCAGCTTTATATTTATTTATGTTTACAGTATGTAAAAACCTCTTAATTTTATTCTTCCTGTATTCAAAACAAAATTCAGGGTGTTTATTAATTTGTCTGCGTTTAAAACTGGTCAAATTACCAATCTGTTGTAAATCAGTTGTGGTTAGGAAGCACTGGTACATTTGTTTTAGTTGCAATTTTCTGATTGGAAGTTACTCCAAACATATGAAATTAATTAAAGATTAAAGTCTCTTCTTTTGTTATATTTTTAATTAGAGGAGTGTATTGGGGGGGCCTGGGTGTCTCAGTTGGTTAAGCATCCAACTTTGGCTCAGGTCATGATCTCACAGTTCGTGGGTTCAAGCCCCACATCAGGCTTTGCAATGACAGTGCAGAGCCTATTTCACATTTCTCTGTCTCCTCTCTCTCTCTCTGCACCTCTCCTGGTTGCGTGGTCTCTCTCTCTCTCTCTCTCTTCCGCTCCCCCAAAAAATAAATAAATAATTAAAAAATTTAATTGGAGGAGTATATAAGTTAGCTGACACCTAATTTTGTTTTTTCCTGTGCGGCACTGATGTTACAAAGTTTCCAATCAAAGTGGAAAAACTTTTTAAAAACTTGAAAAAAACTTTAAGTCCCACTTTGCATATCTTCTGATATGGTGTATTCATGTAGCACCATAGGCAAGACTTCATGCAAAGACAGCCATGTCTCTTGGACTCCTTGCACAATCTATCCTGAAATAAACTGCAGAAAAGCTTGGTTTTGTACTTTAATTTTTGACTTAGCTGTTCCAAAGTCACAAATTCTAGATACTATACCTCTTTCAAGAGTTCATTTTGCTGCTTGACCCCCTGCAAGTCAATTAATGGTTTTGTCCTTTTGTGAAGTATGCATAATAAATATTTTTAGTGAGTTCTTCATCCTAGGACCCAAGGGATGGTTATAGTTGGTGGGAGTATTAGTAGCCAGAGTCTTGCCTTGGCTTTTCCTCAGCAGAAATCATGTGTATCCGTCACCAGAGAGATTGGTCTCTGAGCATGCAATCTGTCCCAACTAATTTAATTAATTTAATTCATCCTAATTCAACTTGTTTTCAAGTTTAATTCAATTTAGCTAAACATGCTTTCATAGCAGAAAAACAATTGATTTACTCATTATAAGAAATACAGCAGTTGAATAGACTAGAATTTGCTCATGTCCTGTGAGTGTATTTTCCCAGTAGGAAAATCTATTGTGAAACCAAATGTAGATGGATGTTCCTTCATTTATATAGAATCAGAACAAAGGAATTGGGTGGCATTATGACTTCAGTGAAATCTGAAAGAAACCAAGAAATTCAACTTGCTGAAGGAGCTTTCTACCAAACCAGCCAGGAACTTTAGAATCATTCTGGGAAGTTTTTAAAGAAGTTCAAGGATCCCCATGACACATCCCACTTTATGCAAGTCTTGGTTTGGTCAACCAAAGATTATAACAATTGAGATGCATTAAAGAAGGTTCTGAATTGTACATACACTTACTTTTTCCCCAAGATATTTTATTATGAAAATTTCCAAACATACAGAAAAATTAAGGGAATGGTACAGTAAGCATCCGTACAACCACCATCCAGATCTACCATTGACTTTTTATTGAACACGCATATGTCTGTCTTTCCATCATTCTGTCCATCCGTCAATCTCAGTCATTTATTTTTATGCATTCCCAATCAAATCATGGACATCAGTACACTGTTTCCTTAACTTTTTACTTTGAAATAAAAATTCACAAGAGCAAATATAACAACATAATGAGATCCCATGTACTCATCATCCTGATCCACTGATTGTCAATATTTTTTAGACTTGTGTTATTTCCTTCCCTTCCCCACATTTTTTCTTGAGTCATTCAAAACAGACAAAACATTTCATTTATAAATATAAATACTTCTGTCTCTAATTCATAAGCATTTAATACATTACTGTTTAATTAGATTCTTTATTTAATGCCTGTTCTTTGCCAGTTCGCCTTGATAGTCTCAGTCTTGGATTCAGTCTTTTTACATTTGATTTGTTTGAATCAGGATCCAAGTGATATTACCCATAAACTGGTGGTTCGATCCAAATACAAGATTATATTCCAGGCCAGTTATGTTGGCAAGATGACATTGTAAGTGGTGCTAGTACTTCTGCTACACATATGTAGGCAGCACATGATGGCTGGTCATCCCACTGTTAGTGTTGCTAGAACTGATCCATGGGTTCATGCATTGGGACACTGATACCTTTAGTACAACATTTACTGCTACACAATTTTCACAAAATTATAATAATCTCTTAGATGCATTCATTAATATGGACTTATGAAATGGTGACTTTTCTAATTTGTCCATTTGTTCTGCATTTATTAGTTGGAAGAACTTTGTCCATCAACTACTTGGTAACCCTGAAATGCATTTTTTTTTTACCACAAAGGCAGGATAAATGATACTGTCCCTTTACTTACCAACTTTCAGAATGAGTAGTTGCCCGACCAGCCTCCAAAAGTTTGTTGCTTGGCTTATATTTTTAGTTGTGGTAAAACACACCGCAAAAGTTGCCATCTTAACCATTTTTAAGTAAGTGTTCAGTAGCATGAAATACATTCATATTGTTGTGCAATATATCCCCAGAACTTTTTCATCTTACAGAACTGAAACTCTATACCCATTAATCAATTCTCCATTTCTCCTTCCCCCCCACCCCCAAGTCCCTGGAAAGCACCATTCTGCTCACTGTTTCTATGAATTTGACCATTTTAGGTGCCTTATGTTAAATTGAATCATACAGTATTCGTCTTTTTGTGACTAGCTTATTTAACTTAGTATAATGTCCTTAAGATTCATCCATGTTGTAGCATGTGACAAGATGTACTTGCTTTTCAAGGCTGAATCCAAAAGTTTTTATTATTTTTAAAACATATATTTTTATTATTTATTTTTTAAATGAATTCGTGATTTTCATATATTTGCTGTGTTTCAGTCCATTGCAGTCATTATTCTTGTTGATGCTCAAACTGTTTCATCTTGGTCCAGTGGGATTCCCCTCCAGGGAGCCTCTGAGGACTTTTAACATGACTCAGTAGCCTCTGAGAGCTTCCCTACTTTGTGATGCCCAGATATTCCAGGCTTATCTGGTACATCTCCTTCCCTAGAGATGTACTACATGCCAGAGTCTGCGCGTATAATACATGCTCACTTTTTCCTCTTTATAATATTATCTAAATGCTTTTTAATTACAAGTAGACCATAGTAAGAGTATAACAAGGATAAACTGTTGTTCAGAATGAAATGTGATGGGTTTCTCTTAACCACACATGAGGAGCTAGACCATCTATGCCATGATTTGAAACCATGGCTACATATTAGAACCACTCTGAGGGCCTTTAAAAAAATCCCAATGGCCAGGTCACACCCCAGCCCAGTTTTACTAGATCCTTTAGGGATGGCACCGGGCACCTAGAATCTGCAAAGTTCCCCAGGCGTTTCCAGTGTGTGGCTAAAGGTGAGAATGCTCATTTAGCAATGAAATCATAACCAAAATAAATTTCAAAAAGATACCTGAACTTTGAAAATTACCTTAGTCTAGAATATATTAGGTTCCTGACTTTTCTGGATAAGTTATTCTTTATTAGCTTGATTATGGGGCCTTTAAAAATGAAGGAATCTCCTTAGTCATACAGTACCGCACATGTCTAATGTGTCTCCTGTTTGTGTGTGTGTGTGTGTTTGTTTGTTTGTTTGTTTGTTTTGTAGATCTGAACAAGCTTCAGGTCAGCATGTTGCCACCTTGAAAGAACAAGATAATTCTATCAGAGAAGAAGTAGCTAAGCCATCTGAAATTTTCCCAGTCAAAAAAGTGAACCAGACGACAAGGGTCAGTAATTTTTATTAAAAAAAAATGAAGTTTCAAGATTATGCAAATGATTCATTTGAGGAAACAGTCATCTTCTTAACAATGGTTAAAATATTTGGAAAAAAATGTTACTTAATAAGTGAGGTTTTTGTAGTTTGTTTGTTGGCACTTTCTGATCTCAGGCCTTTTGCACAAAGTTTTGCGTAGGAATCTCAACCCCCTACATTCAGATCCTGGAGGTAACCTAATCGAGCATAATGACCACAACATTTTCAGTAACTTAGAAGCATCTTGTAGCATTCTGGTTTTCTTTCCCCACTCCATACTTTAAAAATACTGAACAGTCTAGGGCACCTGGGTGGCTCAGTTGGTTTAGTCTGACTCTTGACTTCAGCTCAGTTCATGATCTTGTGGTTTAGAGATTGAGCTTGGGAGATTGAGCACCACGACAGGTTTCCCACTGAATGCGGAGACTGCTTAAGAATCTTTCGGGGCGTCTGGGTGGCTCAGTCGGTTAAGCGTCCGGCTTCGGCTCAGGTCATGATCTCGCAGTTCGTGGGTTCGAGCCCCGCATTGGGCTCTGTGCTGACAGCTAGCTCAGAGCCTGGAGCCTGTTTCAGATTCTGTGTCTCCCTCTCTCTCTGGCCCTCCCCTGCTCACGCTGTCTCTGTCTCTGTCTCTCTCTCTCTGTCTCAGAAATAAATAAAAATTAAAAAAAAAAAGAATCTCTCTCCCTGCCCCTCTGCCCCATTCACATGCTCTCTTTCCCCCTCTTTCTCTAAAAAACTTGGGGCGCCTGGGTGGCTTAGTCGGTTAAGCGTCTGACTTTCGCTTAGGTCATGATCTCGCGGTTCGTGGGTTCGAGCCCCGCGTCGGGCTCTGTGCTGACTGCCAGCTCAGAGCCTGGAGCCTGTTTCAGAGTCTGTGACTCCCTCTCTCTCTGACCCTCCCCTGCTCACGCTCTCTCTCTCTCTCCTAGAAATAAATAAAAACATTAAAAAAAATAAAATAAAATAAAAAATAAAAAATAGTGATCATACATGTTAATTCATCAAATACATACTGATCCATTTCCTTACAAAGGTACCAGCCCAGATCCATTGAAGGGAAAGAGATAAATAAAATGTGACATCTCCTTCTGGGGAATGGCATAGTAGGATGTGTGTAATAAGAAAATACCAGAGAATATGAGCCTTCAGAAAAAGGGGCCAAGCCATTTGGAGAACCAGTGAGACAGACTTTACGGTGGAGGTAGCAGAGAAGTATGTGAAGTGACCCTTAAAAGAGAAATAGAATGGGGCTCAGTCAGTTAAGCGTCTGACTCTTGTTTTCAGCTCAGGTCATGATCTCATGGTTTGTGAGATCAAGCCCAGTGTCAGGCTCTGCCCTGACGGCACCAAGCCTGCTTCTCTCTCTGCCCTCCCACCCTCCCTCTTTCTCTCAAAATAAATAAATAAACTTTAAAAAAGAGAGAAAGACTGAATTTTGACGGGCTAAGAGTACAGGGGATTGCATCAGGCAAGGAGGGGCAGGGGCAACAGGGAAGGGCTGTTAGAAGCCAAAAAACAGACCCGGAATGTAGAGTCGAGCTCTACTCCTAGTGGCTGAACAGTGGGCTTCAGACTAGCAGTGGTGAGCAAGAAGGTCCAAGGTAGTCCAGGGCCCTGTGTGCAGTGTCCATCCAGCCCAAGGAGGGTGTTTCTGTTTGGTTTAGTGGACCCTGGAAAGCCCTGAGAGCTTTTTGAGCAGAGCCTTAGGTTTTGGACTGAGAAGGCAGAGGAGGGAGCCCCACAGTGGTTCTGACCAGAGAAGATGGCACCGGAAGGTGAGTGTGAAGATGCTGGACAGAAAGAGGAAAGCAATGGAGCAGATTCCCTAGAGGAGCACTAGGGAGGATCCAGAAGCCCAGGTCTAGAGTGCGCCCATTGTAGTCTTCGTTGTTCCCTAGAAGGCCATCTATTGAGAGAGATGGCACTTCCCCTAAATTTATTGTCTTGTCAATGTGTCTTGTCTCAAAGTATGTTTTCTCATCTTTATCTGTAATCTGAGGTTTTCTGGCTTTGATCCTTTTTAAGTTTTTATTTTTATCATGTTCAAAGTTCAAGGATTTGACATGTGTCCCTCTTGGAGGTAAGCTTTACCCCCTCTGCACCAAAGTCACATGCCTGTGTCACTGTGTGATCCAGAGCCTCTGCCATAGCCCCCCTCCACACACCCCCCGTAAGCCTTTCAAGGCACCTTCAGCCCTTCCCAAGCCCCCTTTCCTTGTCTCTTTAAAAAAGAAAGATTTTAAGCATTTCAAACGTACACACATAGAATGATGTAATGAACTCAACAGTGCCACACCTGCCCAAGTTCATGCATGTTACCATTGTACCATATTTGTTTCAAACCTCACCTTCTGCCTCCCCTCCTCCATCACCCTACCCCTCCCCTCCCTCTACTTACCTGCTTCATCCTCCCTTTCCTTCTTCTGAAATAAATTATTGCAGATATAGATACAGCCCACATGCGCTTTTCACAGATCCCATTTCCCTTTTCACAGATAACCTTGTATGTATCCTTCCTGCACACATTTGCATTTTACAGCATTTTGTGGGACTCAGTAAATAAAGAACAATATTCTTTAGGAAAAACAGGTTCATTCCATATCTGTTGATAAAGGTAGTTCTTAGAAAGATTTTATTCTCAGGTTTTATTGTCCATTTTATTTAGTACTATTTTATAACAACATTGTTTTCCATTCATTCCATTCACTGCAAGCACTTCGCATCTCAGCCATGTCACAGGTGAAAGATGTATCGGGGCATCCTGGTGGCTCAGTCAGCTAAGCTTCCAACTTTGGCTCAGGTCATAATCTATATCATGGTTTATATTTTGAGCCCTGTATCAGGCTTGCTGCTGTCAGCAGAGTCTGCTTCAGATCTTCTGTCCCCCTCATTCTCTGTCCCTCCCCCATTTGCGCATACGTTCTCTCTCTCTCTCAAAAATAAACATTTTTTAAAAAGGGGTGAAAGAAGTATTGGTCTGCTGCCCTTTGCTATCTAATCATCTCATTTTTTTTAAGTTGTTCATATTAGAAAACATATTCTAAGTTCCAGACAACAATTCAGTCATAATTTTTCAAATAATAAATCCATTATTAATGGAAAGGGGGCTGCCCAATTAATAACTTAGGAATCAAATGATAGTCTGCCTCCCCAGCACGTTTATTTAGATTCTTTAAAAAAAAAATTTATTTTAATTTTAGACAGAGAGAGAGAGTGCAAATGGAAGGAGAGAGGCAGAAGGAGAAAGAGATAAAATCATAAAATAAGCAGGCTCCACACTGAGCATAGAGCCAAACCTGGGACTTGATCCTATGACCCTGGAATCATGACGTGAGCTGAAATCAAGAGATGGACACTCAACCGACTGAGCCACATGGGTCCCATTAAAAAAAATTTTTTTTTTATTTTAGAGAGAGTCCCTTGGTAGATTTTTTTGTTCCTTTTTAAATGATCCTAATTTCTTCTTAATGGCAATCATAAACATTACCAACAAATTAATGACAAAGTCCATCCTTAAAAATAGAAGTAAGCAGGCAGTTTCTGTTAGTTTGGGACCGAAGAAATGCACAGCCTGAAAGAACTACATTACCAAAATGACATGAACAACACATGAACTTTATGACAAATGAACATGAGCCTTGTGAACTTTATGACAAAATGCTTTTGTGGGTCCTAGGACTGCTTTCATTTAAACATCATCCTGTCACAATTAGCAAAATCTAGTGTTTTTGAGTTGTTTCTCTGCATTGAAACAATATACACATTTAGAAAATAGTAGGGTTAAATATTTCCCCATAGATAAAAATCATGAAACTAAGAGATTTTCAAAATTTAAGGAAGCTCTACTAGAAATTACTTGGTTAAGAATCTAATGAAGCTCAGAAATATTTACTTTGATCTCTTGGGTAAATGGCTAATTAAACAGCCACATGTAAATGATGTTTACCTGTGGGTCCCTTTGCTGTCAGCTGGAGTCAATCCCGTCTCTTGAGTAAATACATCATTAAAGCTGCCGAAACTCGGATTATGTCCCCTCGAGACCAGATAAGATCCACAGCACCTGCATAACCTATTAGGTAATTACATAATTGAGCTGCATGCTTTTAAATCAGAAAAATTTGTAATTACTTTATGTGGACAAAAAAATGAATTGGGTGCTTCATTAAAACACAAAGTGCTTCTTTTCTCCTACGTGATGTCTCTTTCCACCCAAGAGAATTTCTCCATGCAAAAGCTGAGTGGCTTGCTGGTGTCTTTCACAGAGTAGGTCAGTCATGTCTGCCACCACACATGTACCACTAGAGAGACAGGTGACTGGTCACAGAAATCCTTCACCTCTCTCTAAATGGTGAGCTGGGGTTTTTTTTTTAATCTTATCTCTTGAATACTCATTTACAGGCCCGTATGAATACTTTCCCCTTTCTTCTAACTGCTCCGAAAGTAAAATCCCCTTCTTTTTGTATCCCTTTCCCCTCCTACAACTTAGATTTAACTGAAGAGCATTTCACTTTAAACTCTGAAAACTTACTTTTGGTGTGGAAAAGGAAGATTCATGAGGAAGGTCAGTTAAATATGTATATTAGGGGAAAATGTCATATACTGTAGACAGCCCTAATTCCCTTGCTCTTTTGTATCAGCATTAATAGCACTGATTTACATATAGAATAGGATTTCTTTTTACTAGGTGCTTTCACATTCACTTTCTGTTTGTACTGTCCATCACAGAAATCAGATTCTTTTAGGGCTATCATAAGTTTAAAAAAAAAAACTAACAGAAAAAAACTTGCAAACTTGGAATATTAAGGTGAACAGAATGAATAAAAGAAAAATTTCCATTTAAATTGTAGTGTGTAGTTTTTAATATTTAACATATTGACAAGCATGGGTTATACTGACTGTGTACTTCCCTTCATATCATCACATCCCTTCCACATCATTTCAGACATCTGTGTGGATATTTGAGACCCCTGTGTGGATGCTCCCAAGACCCTTGTGTGGATACTCCAGTCTCCTTAACCACGCTTCTGTTGAACATTTGTGGGGTTTTTTGTTTTGTTTTATTTGCTTTTGTTTGTTTTTGCATTTTTAAAAAATTGTTAAGAGAGAATGCTCACAAGACAGGGTCAGGGTCAGAAGGAGAGACAGAGAGAATCTTAAGCATGCTCCACGCTCAGCTCAGAGCCAGACATGGGGCTCGATCCCACACCTGGAATCATGACCTAAGCTAAAAACGAGAGTCAGATGCTCAACCAGCTGAGCCACCCAGACACCCCAAACATTTGTTTTTAATTGTTCCTCTAGTAAAAAAGTTTTAAGGAACATCTGAGCAATTCAGTTTTTACAACTGCCACGCTATCTCCTTAGGATTAATTTCTAGATGTGGAATTGTCAAGTCAGAGGGTGTGTGCCTCTCGCAGGCAACAGCTATGCTGATACATTTCACTCTGGAAGGGTCATCAGTTATGAAGAATGAAGGAAAATATCATTTCTCTGAGCTTTTTATGAAACTGGATACTACTGACTTTTTTCTTTTTGAGTACCAGCATTGTGGAGCGCAAATGAGATCCAATTTTTTTGGTTCATTTGACCTTTATAATACAATTGAGGTCAAATTTTCCCCTACCTATTTGTTACCCATTTGTATTTTTCTTTTATAATTTGCAGGTCCATGTTCTTTGCTCATTTTTCTATTAGGTTAGTAATATTTTTTCTTATTGACTTGTAAGAACTTTTTTAATATAAATTGGTACAATTTGTTACAATATTTGGTGCAGTTTGATTTTCTCCTTTGATTTATTTTAATGGTGTTTTGGACATGGTGTCTTTTCCAGTAATATCTGCATTTGTCTATGCATGTGAATATCACAATTGATATAAATTAAGAGATGACTCTTGGGATTCTAGGCCTAGCAGGATCCATATTTAAACTGGACTTTGAGAAAAATTCTAGGAGAGTTGAACCAGTAACTCTAGGTGTCCTAGTTAATTCATGGGACAATTTATCTTTCCTAAGATCTGAAATGTGGAGCTACCACCATCAGGGATCCTGCAAACAGTGTGTGGCTTGGCATTGAATTTCCCTTTCTCCTGGCTCCTGGGAGGGCAGAAAAGTGAGGGGACTAGTTTGTTGATATTGACCGAGGCATCAGACAACTGAGAGAAGACAGTCTCCATCTCTCCTCTGGGCTCCAAATGTATGAAATCAAAGAGAGCCTTTATTTGCTAACGGATAAGTTGAATCCCAAGCATAGTCCATTCATAAGCTCCATCAGGAGGCTGGTAGTAAAGTTGTTGTCTGGTGGTATTTTTCACGTAGAGAGCTCCAATTTGCAGAGCCCATTCAGTCCCAGCGTGAGCTGTGTGAAGTAGCCTGTTCGCTCTTCTCTGGGCTTTTGTTCCTGTGCAGGTACTGGTTAGTGTTGTGGCCTCAGACTGGAAGCTGCTTCAAATTGGGAGCTTCCTTAGAATATGCCCTTCTGAAAGGTCTGCAAATGGTATGTCTTGAGAATGTATTATAGATGTTTCTTCTGACTCTGCAGAAGTTGTTTTTGACTTGAAACTTTCTGACTATTCCTTCCTTGTCTGAGGCTGACTTTTCTTTCTTTCCTGCTTATCATTATTCCCTGTTTTTAGGGCCTTATATTGTGGGTTCCCTTACAGATGACCTAGTGGGCACATCTGCTGTTCTCTCTTGTCTCCATGATCCCGTAAAGCCAAGCTGGCCATTCTCATGTTATAATTTGACCCTCTACCAAAAATCCTTACAGATATAAAAAAGTCATTGTTAAGACATTACCTATGGGGCACCTGGGTGGTTCAGTTGGTTGACTGTCTGACTCTTGATTTCAATTCAGGTCATGATCTTGTGGTTCATGAGATTGAGCCCTGAGTCGGGCTCTGCACTGATAGCATGAAGTTTTCTTGGGATTCTCTCTCTCTCTCTCTCTCTCTCTGTCCCTCCCCCACTCATCTACTTCTCTCTCTCTTTCTCTCTCTCTCAAAATAAATAAATAAACTTAGAGGAAAAAAAGAAACTATCTATAGAATTATCTTAGAAGATGAGTCCTTTTTATAAATGTCTCTATGAAGAAAAGTAAGAAAAATCCTAGAAACAAGAGTATTGAGTAGTGAAGATAAATGGCATGAAATATACAAAATAAGTAAAAACCTGCAGTAAGCCCACCACTCTCCTTACGTCTCTGGAGTAAAAGAAGAGGGTGTGCTCAGTGTAGAACTAGTGGCAGTGCTGGTATGGTTATCAATCATATAGGGACTTATTAGAAGGACATTTACTGTATTATTATAGCATTTTATTCTGTTTTCTTTTGAGACCCAGTTGAAACCAACTAAAGGAAAAAGGATCACATAAGGGATCCCTTCCATGAAAAGGGATGCACAAACCAGGGAGATAAATTATGTGTCATTTCTGAGGGCCTAGTAAGAAGTAATCTGAGTAACTGGCAACTCCAGTTTCTGGTGTCTGCAAATTCTACAGCATAAAGCACAAGATGCTTCAACAGCCCTTGAACAATTCTATTCTTAAGATGTGTTAAGACAGGGACTGTTATGAAGTCATGCCAAGAAATTATTAGTTATACCTGTTGCATAGGATAAGATGGGGAAGAAATACATATTTAAGGTCCTTTCAGAATGTTTGGATTATTTTAACTATCAGAAAAAGATATGTACAGCTTTCACTACAGAATTTGGGCCAATTCTTTTTGTTCATATTCTAAAATGCTTTTCACATAGCCAGGATTCTTGGGGACACGGAATTGGAGCTTAACTCTCTGGGGGAAGAGACTAGATCAGGGTGGAAATCTAGAACTGAGACATGCAAGGATGATCCGGAGACCAGTTGAGATACGGCAGTTCAAGGAGGTGGTCCTACTTTTTATACCTCTCTTTCTGGACAGATTCTGGAAGCAGGTACAGCACAGTGATCCATGTAGGCAGCTGGGATTGGGGCACTATGGCAGCCAGCAGTGGGAACCAACTCTCGCTTGAGCTTCAGAAACAGGACTCTACACCCAAACCCTAGTCTGCAGAAGCAGGGATACCGTGCAGATCATCCCAGTATAGAGTGACCACAACTGAAGTAAAAGTAAAATCAAGGACTAATTTAAACAAATAGAGGGATTACTAGAAGTGGACTACAGACAGACTCTGGGTATGAGTCTGACATAATGCAAAGTTAGACTAGAATTCCTTAAATTCCCTACAGTCATGGCAATCCTCTATAATAGGCATGAGTCCAGGAGGCCAGCTGGTCCTAGGAAAGGCAGAAGGCAAGAACCTTGCAGAAATGTCAAGGCTAACGTCAGTGACTTCGAAATATGTTCCAAGCCAAACTCACAAAATTATTATCTTCTCTCTTGTTCACTAGATAATTACAGTTTTACCACTTTTCACTTAGACTAGTGATAACCTGTAAGGCTTTGTCCAATCCCACTCTTCTGCAGTCTTGTGCTCATTTCCCACAGGTTGGGTTCGATACCACCCTGCATTTACTCCTGTTGTCAGATACCAGTGATAGGTCAGCACCACCACCTAGGTTTCCTCTGCCAAAAAACTGGGCAAATCATCACTTCTAAGTAGGAAATGAGATAGAACATATTCCCTGGAAGGAGATGATGTCATTATTGGTGACCTCTTCTTACGAGTGTATTTTTATTTCTTGGGAGGAGAGTGCTGACCTGATGAATAGACATGAGTATTAACCTGTCCCATTAATTGACATTTGTTCTCTATCACTCAAGTTGGCCATGATGAAATATGTGCCACCTGCCTGCTCATGAGGTAAAACATTCAGGGCCCTTTTTTTTTTTTATTTTTTTAATGCTTTATTTCTAGGAGAGAGAGAGAGAGAGACAGCGTGAGCAGGGGAGGGTCAGAGAGAGAGGGAGTCACAGACTGAAACAGGCTCCAGGCTCTGAGCTGGCAGTCAGCACAGAGCCCGACGCGGGGCTCGAACCCACAAACCGCGAGATCATGACCTAAGCGAAAGTCGACGCTTAACCGACTAAGCCACCCAGGCGCCCCGTTAGGGCCCTTTGAAAACAGATAGGCAGTTTGGCAGGTGAGTTTCCCAAGCTCCCCAGCAGACTGAGGGGCAAAGTGCAAAGTGTCTTTATCCTTGATTAAAGACTACGATTTAGAATAAGATTAGCTCTCTTTTTGCTTTAGTATATCTTCCTCAGCCACAATGTTTTTCTGCAATCTCCCCATTTTGAGGAAGTTCAAGGGTCATTTCTAGAAGGATGAGGATACCGGGGCACTGGGTAGCTCAGTTGGTTAAGTGTCTGACTCTTGATTTTAGTTCAGGTCATGATCTTATGGTTCTCTAGATCAAACCCTGCAACCTGGCACCTGCTGGGGATTCTCTCTTTCCTTCTCTCTCTACCTCTCCCCTACTCATTCTCTCTCTCTCTCTCTCTCTCTCTCTCTCTCTCTCTCTCAAAATAAATAAATTTTTTAAAAATAGAAGGATGAGGATACCTCCAGGTCACATTTTTCCAGATCTCTTTTACATTCCAAACCAACTGTCTTACATGCCCAAAAAACAGATTCATGCAATGAAAGAGTAAATCTTGGATAAACGAGCCCAGATTAACAGAGGTACTCACATCTCACATACATACTTCATGAGTTAACATTTACACATTCCATAAGTCCTCAAAAAAGGTATCACTGCAAGTGCAAGTTGTTGTAAAGAAATTATGCTGGAAAATAATAAGATGTTGTCTTATCTTGAAGACATTTAAATTTCAGTTAAATGTCAGGAAGCAAATTAAATCCCAAGTAAAGCTTAACCTGAAATTACATTTGAAGGCTGGGTTTTTGAGACCAAGGGTAATGTAACTAGAGTTTGTTTTTATTTCTTTGTGCTTTCTTTTAAACACTGTAGGCAACAGCATTATTGAAAAAAGCCTTTACAGAAGAGTGTGATGATAGGTCAGCTATTCACAGTAATGAATCATCTTGCAGCTTGCCATCTATTCTGAATGATAATAGTGGAATAAAGGAAGCAAAGCCCCCTCTGTGGCTCAACAGTGTTCGTACAAGGGAACAAGGTAACTATTGTTATAAATTCTGTCCACAGAAGAAATGCATTCAGAGTCACCATAACATCCTCTTTCTCAAGATATACCTATAAAATTAAGCTGACTAGAGAATACCTCTGATTTTAATAGGCATGATGTTACTTGTTTTAAGCCACCTTTTAGTAAATATATTTGTTTTCCTTTAGTCTAACAGGAATGGAAAACTTAATCATAAGTCTGCAGTTTTGCTGAATTTCCAATAAAATAAGTTTTCATGAGTAATGAAATCTTAGCAAAATTGATCTCTTAGAAGTAGATTGTTTTGATCCTGTCACACAGATGAAGCTGATTCCATTAAAATGATTCCATGGAATACTGTGAAGTTTTTGATATCACTTAGTAAAATTTACTCATAATTTGTAAACATTCTTTTTAATTGTAATGGAACCTCATAAGAGTCTAAACAGATGACCAAGAATCTGAGTTTATGCCTCCCCAATTTAATAACCAATTTTTAGTGTCCAGAAATTGTGGTAATTTTAGTGTTACTATTAAGACATGCCACTAACCTGCTGTGAAGGTATTTCCAAACCAGTCATGAGTTCTCAGGACATACTCAGCAGGTGATATACATGGGGAGGATGTGGTTCACTTTTTTTAAACCTCATTTGAATTTGATAGATGTCAGGCTAAATTATTTTGCTGGAAAGCAACATAGAGATAGCCTTCGGTTTAGAATCGGTTTCCTTTTAGGAACAGTACTATTTTATACAAAAAAAATAACCAAAAACCGGACATGGAGAGGCAATGAAAATAAATGGAATGGCAGTTTTAAAAAAAAGACAAAGGTTACTCCATAAATATATCCTTGAAATACACTCTTATCATCATCTGTTCTGTTTTTAGAAGTTTCCAGTGGCTGTGGAGATGAGAGCAGGGAAGAAAGCATGGCAGCAAAGATCCCCATCACAGGTAAAGTTACTGTCGCCTGAGAGTTTCAAACACAATATTCAACCTTATTAGATAATTAGGACCTCCTAGGTTAGTGGTTTGTGGACTCCACTAAGAGCAAGGATATTCAACTGCTGCGTGCTGCAGCAGGAGATTAAATCGTACGAGCAGGACGTGTGAGGTTACGTTAACATTAACCAAGGTGGAAAATAACCGTGTCTATTGAATTCTTCATAATCGTGTCATACATTTACACATGTGAGCACCGCCATCACACAGCCTTTCAGCACCTGCGTCTGGGTGACAAGGTCAGTCTCCATAGGGAACACCCAGTCATTATATGGCAAACTACAGATGTTTCTGATGTTATTCTTCTTTCCTGTGATAATTGAATGTGTATCATTAAAATAAGAGCAAGGGGGGAATGCCAGACAGAAAGCTTGCCTTGTACCTCCTATAACTTAAAACTAACCAAAAATAGGAGGTGGTTAGCCTGTCTGATAATGTAACAATTTTAGCAGTAAGGTTTCATCAAGACCTATTAAGATTTCTGCACATGTATTAGGCTTGTTTAGATAGAATCTGAATATCATTACTTTTTTTAGTTTTAGAATATCAACAGCAGCAATTAGTATTCCGAACAGAGTTCTATTTGTCGTACATCTAAATTTACTAGTACCTTATTTTGTAAAGTGGTGTCCTACTTCATTAGAAATTCAAAGGTCTGACTTTAAATATTTATACAAGTAAATACACCATTGCACGGAGGTACTGAGGCATGCATCTGCATATGTGGTAGTTTTGCTGTTTATAAGCAGAAAAGAATGACTTTCTTTTATGGCAGTACAATTCATGGCCTGGTGATTAATTTTTTAAGCCCATGTTTCTGTGATGAACTCTGGTTTTGAAAAGGGAGTTTATAGTAGAGCAATTATTGTATATATTCTGCATCAGATAATATTTCACTCCAAAATGCAGAGGTTTTCTTTTCTTTTAAGCCTTTCCCCAGTGAGCTGTTTATTGCTTTTTTATTCTTCATTTTGAGAAAACTCTGATAGAGTCACTTTTTTATTTTTTATTTTTTTATGAATAGGAGTATAGATGATTCCAAACTGCAAATAACCAAGAAGTCATTTGGGTGCTTTTCCTTCGCAGTTTATCTTTGAATGCACAAGTATCTAATGACCCCTGAAGTTATTTCAGTAATGACAAAGGCTTATTGGGTGGAAACCAGGAAATGATCCACTTACCCATTCTTACTTCTCCAGTGTTCTTTGGAATCATACCTTGCAAGTACGTGACTCTCCCCTCAAATTAATGCAAATGGTATTTTCTCATAGATTTTCTTTAGAACAGAAGAGATAGTTAAATACTGGGCTTTCAAATTTTTCTCCTCTTCAAGCAGAAAGGGGTGTGACAAGCCTAGAAGTAACAATTATTGCAATAATTTCTTTAAAGATCCTAATGGCAAATAACCCTTGTTACCTCTAGGCTTGTCACACCCCTTTCTTGAATACTGAGAAACAAACTGAGGACGGATGGATGTGGGGGGGAGGGGGGAGATAGGCATGGAGGAAGGCACTTCTGGGTATGAGCACTGGGTGTTACATTGAAACCAACTTGACAATAAACTATTTGTATAAGAAAAGAAAAGAAAAAAGAAAGAAGAGAAGAGAAAAGAAGAGAAGAAAGAAAAGAAAAGAAAAAAGAAAAAAGAAATTGCAACTCCATCAACATGTCATTGACCTATCAATAGTTGGCAGTTAAAAACAAAATGTTTTGTGCCTGGTTGTATGCCAAAGTAGTAGTCATAAACTAACTTGGGAAATGTGAAAAAAAAATTTACAAAGCCAGTGACTTTGTTTGAGCATTGCCTTCTGTCCTGGCTACCACACTCTCCTCTGTGCTCCCCACCCACCAGACCTCCCATGAAGTTAATGTTTGAGGGCCTCAGGCACCCTGACCCTGCCTAATACTATTGTCCCATATGTCACTGAAGTTACTTTGATCTTAAGTTCTTTTTTTTTTTTTTCATTTTTTTCCAGATATAACTGTCATATAACATTGTGTTAGTTCAGTCTCCAAGTTCTTGATCATCATCTCTTTATTAGGTCTTTGTGACTTTTGGCATAATTATTTGGAAATTTGGCCTTTGGTAGAATAGGGCAGGTGTATCGTTTGGCTTAATATAGAGTCTGCCACCCCCTTCATAATAATTTTGTTGAGGCTTTCCTGTTGAATGAGCTTCATTCCTTCTGGAGTTTTCCAAAGGAAAAGAATATTCCAGAGGCTGTTCTCTGGGAGTTGAGATGTGACGGCTGAGCCTGGGCTTTGGCATCAGCTCTCTCTGTCAGCTCTTTACCCCCTGCTCTATTTTCCCACCCCTCTGAGCCTCTGTATTGAGAAATCAGACATACTACTTGGCAAGGTTGTCCTAAAGTTGAAATGATGTCATGTGTGTGAAAGCACCAAGCATGTACTACACACTGAATACATGAATGCTACCTCCTAAACTGCAGTAGCCGCTTGGGACCAAGACCCATCCAAGCCCTGTGCTGCCATAATTCCTCAGAGACAGCACTTTCCAATAGTACCATTAAATTAGTTTCTGTAAGAAATTTCCACTTGAAAACTCAGTGGATGGTTTAAATCCAGAAGGATGTTTACTTTATCAAAAAGTCTTAAGGAGAGTTTCATGATATTTTAGGAACTTCTAATTAGTCCCATGAAGAAACCGTACAAGAGGAATTGCAGAAGTTAGTGAAGTAGTTCCTGGTGGTCTCCTTGATGGAGGCCAGATGTCTCTACCTGTGAGGACTTATGCACCATATGCCTGACACGCCCAGGGTTGAGGACATTGCAGGGCACCCTATCACCAGACAGGTCTTCCCTTGGTGCTCTCACAAGTGTCGACGAGCTAATGCAGCATTTCCCCATGTCTGCTCTGTGCAGTACTCCACCCAGAAGATACATCAAGGAGCACGTATTTTGTGACCAAACCCTACGTGACCCCTCTTTCCCTCTATAGCCAGCACAGTGCACTGCAACATGTCAAAAACTCTTAGAACTTTCAGTGAATAAGCCATTTATTTCTTTATTTTAACTTTAGAGAGAGAGAGAGCATGCATGAGCAGGAAGAGGGGCAGGAAGAGGGGCAGAAAGAGAGAATCCCAAGCAGGCTCCATGCTTAGCATGGAGCCCAACTCAGGGCTCAATCCCACAACCCTGGGGTCATGATCTGAGCTGAAATCAAGAATTGGACACTGAACAGACTGAGCCACCCAGGCTTCCTGTAAATGAACCATTTGAAAGTGTGACTTTAGAGTTTCAAATAACTACTCTCCTATCTGAAAATGGAATCCTTCCTCTAAATGGCCTGCAGAATTAGTGTTTTGTGGGACACATCTTAGGAAATAAAAATATGCACACATATGTGGAACATTTATTAAAACCTTAAGTCTGATGAGGGCACTGGTTTTCTTAACAGTCTAAATTTATCCTTAGTGTTTTCCTATGGTTCCTTGTTGTGGGAACATCCCTCACGGATGAGGTAGCTTTATAATAAGACCCTGGGCTGCTTTAGTGTAACTAAACCCAGATGATGTTATGATTGAAAGTTATATGTTAGTTATATGTTAAAATGCTCCCCAAATGGACAACCATCAGGTTACAGTAGTAACCTATGACAGTCCAAAGCTCTCCTCTTCAGCGTGGGTCCTCTGCGTGACATTATTTGCTTTACAGCCATCTCAGGAGAGATGTAATAAAGAGAGAGGCTGAGGCGAAATGCAGGGCAGGCACCAGGAAGCTGGGCAGAATGGGTGGGAAGCTCTGAAATAGTACTGTTTTCAAAATGACGAGGGTCCTAGGAAAGTTTAACCTGAAAAGGACACAAAAGCTATCTTTAAATATTTGTGGGACTGCCACATACCGAACATTTGTCAAGCATAATTACAGAATGTAGCTCAGGGGGCCCTTATGTGAGTGTTGCAGGAAGGAATTCACAGCTCAGTCATGGAAGAACTTCCTTGCTCTTCACTTCAGCAAAAGCAAGCTGAGTGTCCTCCAGCTGCTGGGTGGTTGAACCATCTCAGGAGTCCACTGTCTAGAGGGACACTGTGGAAGGATTCCTGTTTCTGGGAACGCTAACATTCCTTCCAATGCTAGGAGACTGTGATTCTCAGTCCATCTTAAGGGATTCAGATGTGCCACCGTTTTCATTTCTTCTTTTCCTTTTATTTGCTTATCACTCCTAAACATAGGTTTTCTTGGCAAAGGGGCCCATATTTAAAGAATTTGCTGTCACTCTGAAGGCATCTGCTTTGTTAATCATCATTTGGGAGAGAGTGAGTTTCATAACCCTGGCTTCCATTATCTATGCTTAATTTTATACAGAAATCCTTCCATACACACCGACACCTACATCCACAGACTATAAGATCTGCCGTTTGTTAACACAGTCTGCTCCTTTTATTAGTTTAACTGTTCACACTTAAGAATCCAGGTAGAAATCAAAGATTAATTTGAATATCAATGAATGTGTCATTTTCCGTGTGTACTAAATAGTCTGTCATTTGCACGTGTGCTGCACCTTTACTTGAGCTGCGTACTGGAAATAGCAGGACAGCAAAAGACTGCATGCGACCCTGCCCTCACTAAGCCTCCCTCACCCCCAATCTTCCTAACAGCCCTGTGGAATAAACATCAGTAACGTGTTCCACAAATGGTCCAACAGAAATTTAGAAAGCTTAAGATTCCAGCTCAAGGCCACGTAGCTAGGGTGCTGGCTCTTGAAGGCAAAGATTGAGATTTAAACCTTGAACTCCTTCCATCCCACCACTCTTCCAGTTTCATTTTACGTGAGAGTCAACTGCATCACGAGGTTTCGGTCAGTGAATTTCAGTGTGTATCCCAGCAAAAGAGGAGCTGTGCAAAGGATACTTTGAGAGCACTGATGACCTAGAGAGGTGGGCAGCTCGTGAGGCTTTCCCAGCACAGCTGGTACCAGAGGTCTGCCCTTT